AGACAGTACCTATGCAGTACCACCTAAGCTTCTGTTCATTGGCACATGGGCCCCTTTGAACGCAAGGACCCTTTGAACTCCTAACACACGGTTCCTACCGCCGATTGTGAATACGAGCAATTCTGCAGGGAAATACAACATACTGACTGGACACGTAAGGTATTCTAGAAGTCTGATTGGTTCATTCATGGAGGGCATTCCTAAATACATCACTATTTTACGAGAACCAGCTGCACAAATAGAATCGCACATGAACTTTTTCAATCATCGTGAGCGAGTAATGAAGGGCATTAAATTGTTTACTAAACATCCATCTAAATTTGAAAATGGTGGCAAAGCAGCAAGTCGCAACAATCAGATTTCGGATTTGGGTTTAATGCTAAATAAAACATCTAATGAAACTACAGTAAACGCAACAATTATAAAACTTGATAAAGAATTCGACCTGGTTCTAATAGCCGAATGTTTTGACGAATCACTTTTGCTGTTAAAACGTATTCTACGTTGGAGTTTTGACGACATACTGTACTTGATAAAAAATCAACGAATGCATCGTGAGACTATTACAGACGAATTTCGTCAACAAATTTACCAGTGGTCAAGAGCTGATGTCTTGTTATACCAATATTTTAATGGAACGCTATGGAGACGAGTTCAGCAGTATGGTCCACAGTTTGAGGATGATTTGGTTTACTTCAGGCGCTACCTTCATGAAATAAATCGCCGGTGTGGTACGTCGGAAACGGTAGTTAAAAGATTCAATAAATTAAAAAAAATAGAATACAATAGTAAAAATGGTTCTATATTTTGCCAGCATTTGGCGTACTCCAATATGGATTGGTATAAACACATAGCAGCTCGACAAGATCCAAGCGGAACAACAAAAACACATCTGTCGCATCATTGACCAGTACGTCTCAATTATTATTTTAAATATGAAAACAAAACAAACGTGCAATTCAAAATAAAAATATACAAAGCAACCTGAATTCGACGTCACCAAAAATAGACATAATAGGATTCCCCTAAATGCGCCTTACTTCACCTTGTTGTCAACAACATTGACATGCTACATCACGTGTGATTGATTGATCTAGCACTTTACAGCAATGACAGATGAAGACAGCAAACTTTATCTATACTTAAATTAATATAGATTTATAAGTAAAACAAATGCAACGAATATGTCATTGAAAAAGCGAAAATGCAAATGCACATTCGAACGAAATGTGCCAATGTCGGTGTGTGGTGACACATGACACGGTTACCTAAATACAGTTATAAAAGACGAAAACAACAATTCATACATATCTACTGTGCAGGGTAGCCGAAGAACGCCTGATAAGATATCAACAGATATTTGAACTCAATACTAGCTGCATCTGACCTACATGCCTTATCATTAAACACATACAGTCTGTATTTGTTGAGGCTAGGTATCTCAGGTCAACTCTGCCTTTTAGTCGGTGCGAATCGTAACAGTGTGCTTGTTTATACAAGTACGAACAGTTTTTAGTCTTGATGGCGTCTAATTGATATCGATTTTGCGATTCAACTACAGTCATAAATATGATAAGATAAGGATGGTGCAAATCGTAACAGTGTGCTAGTTTATACAAGTACGAACAATTTTTAGTCTTGATGGCGTCTAATTGATATCGATTTTGCGATTCAACTAGAGTCATAAATATCATGAGATAAGAATGAAGCATAACAAACTTGGCGCTACTTTCATAAGACTAATTGTTGGTAAAACGATGAAAACCGTAGAAGATATAGAAACAGTAAATTAACAAAATGAAATACAGTAGTCAAAATGGTTCTACATTTTGCCAACATTTGGCGTACTCCACTAAACGCAGAGACGTTCAAAAACGCATATAATAAAATATTGATTGATTCATCATACTCATGTCCAATTAATTGCTGTAAATATGTAATATCATCGTTTGTTTTGTGATTGCCATAAGCGATGTGATATTATAATGAGCAAAGATCAAATTTAAAACATTTGCTATGATCATGATTATACTATATACAATATGTATATAAGTGAGCTCATTTTGGATTAAATCGTTGTTTCTGTATTTTATAACCTATTATTCTTTTAGTGTTAAAACACTGTGCGCGCTGGACAGATGTTCTACTGAACAATATTGTGTTATATGGAAATTATGAATGCATTTGGGCGTTGCCTTCACATACATTCATGAACTTCAGGTTTGTTTCTGCAATTTATGTTTTGTAGTTCTTAATGAAATTTCTACATGCATTGTAACACACTAACTTTATGACTTCACAAATCCCATTTTCATGGTACCATGGTAATTTCTAGTGCATGTATAAAAACGTTATTCGTCAAATTTGTTTTTACAATCTCAATCATTCATACATTTAATATTAATAGCATTAATTCATATTTGAAATCGCCCGCACCTCTGTTCACATATCTCACTAACGGTAAATTTAAATTTACACATTAAAGTAATTTGATATAGGCAAATTTGAAATGTTCTTCACTTTAATTCACATACCTGACTAATATGGTTTGTGCTTATTTTAAATTGCCTTCATTTAAATGTACATATATCAATAATATGGTTAGAACATATTTGAAATGGGCCTCATTTAAATGTGCATACATTAAATCACCTTCACCAAAAATAACATATTTAACTTGAAATTATTAACCACATACATGGACATTCAAATATTGTGCATACAGCTAATACATAAGATAACGTGTGGTATTTCGAGGAGCAGTACTACTATTTTTTTTTGTCCGGGAACGTTGCTATGAAAAGTTGTATTATTTAGATTAAGACTCTTTCTAGCAATGGTTCCTTTCGTTATGGACAATGATCACATGTAATGTAAATACACTTAAAGTGTTTATAATCTGCATAATTGTGAAAAGTTTATATTATATTAGTGTTTTTTGCAACATTTCAGAGATGATTTTGCACATAACACATTATGTAAAGTGTTTACATTAGAAACAAGTATTGGAACATTTTTTCCAACAGAAACATGTATAAAATGCTTATTATCACAACACTTATAAAAAGTGATTTTACTAGACATACATTTTGTAAAGTTTTTTATGATTACGACACGTAGAAAAGTTTCTCAACCGAAGACATGTTTTATTTTAGTGTTTACTATTTCACTAGACACACATTTTGAAAAGAATTTCAACCAGAAATATGTATTGAAAAAGTGTTTATCATCGCAATACTTTGAAAAGTGCTTTCGCGCCAAAATCAAACTGAATATTGACAAGTACTTGTAACAGAGACACATTTTAAAAATTATTTACACTGACAACATAGTAAAAAATCATAAACATTATAAGTCTGGAAAACGAAGTATATCAAATGATGCGTTTCATAATCAAGCACTTTGCACTATTGTACATTAATCATAACATACGATGAACAAATCACATAATCAAGTAAGTACTTACTCCTAAATATAAACATTAATAAGGTAAGTTCGATTATAACATATATAAAAACATATATAGTTGTAAAACGATATTATCAATCGCATGAAGATGTGTCCTTGAATTACGTGCAGCTGAATAAGTGTGCAAACCAATAAAAAATCATTCTTCATTTATCGCGATCTCATTCACACTCACACGACATTTATTCTATTCTATTTCATTCATCTTTCACTTCTATCCGTCAAATGGTTTGATTGCTTATTTTCACACCTTTTAAAATCACCCCCTAAAACGGGAAGTGTGGTATTTCAAACTATATTTACCTAAAAAGAGTTCTTTTGGCGTAGAAGACGGGGCACTGAGTCAACAAAATAAATTCCGAATATTAGCAATCTTGTGCTAATTAACTTTAGAGCGGGGAGTCGTCACCTGCGCATGCGTCATTGAGCGAGTCATTGTTTACAAACAAGAGTCTACCCATGATCCTTTGCGTTTTTAGCGTGTGTTGTTATCGTCTGTTGGGACTAAATTCCCGCGCGTGCGCAGGTGACGACCATCCCGCTTTGCTAGACTGATCAGCAAATGAATTTTATTTGGAATCCTGACGGATTATAACCATCCGGCGGAAAAATATGCCTCTTCCATGCCTTATAGAGGCGGCGCAATTTTGCTTTTAAATTAGGTCATGATGTCTTCTACATACGCTAGTCTGATTATCACTGTGACTCTCTGGCGGATTTGGTGAATATATCCAGAAACTTGCTGTTGATTTTTTTTGGCAGGAACGGCATTGGCTTCCTACATACAGAGACAATTTACTCAGTGTCCTCGCGTGGTGGACAGATTCTTTTTCCTACTTCGTTTATTGTACATTCATTATTGAATCATCCCTGATTATTTTATTCACGAGGTTAACAATTTAAAGCTGTTTATATCACAAATCTACTAACATTCGTTGTATTTATATTCCTGAATTTTACTGTGATCCTTTGAAAATACGGTTTTCTGTTACAGCTAAAGAAAAGAAAAGGTATGCCGCCGTTTTATAACACCCGATCTCAAATCTATGTTTCAAATCTATTTACATACAATAATAATGGTTAGGCAGTGATCCTCGAAAAGGCAACATTGCATTCAAATACATGCAAGCGTTGTTTAACATCATTTATAAAACCTCGAGTTTCAATATATATTTTGATCTGTGTTTTTGGTTAATATGATGTTATTACGAGGATACCTCAAATTACGTACGAAGACAGCCTACAGCGTAAATATCGACCGACGCGCATCGGAGGTCGATGCGACGGCGTACTGTCTGAGTACATACTTTGAGGTATCCTCGTAATAACCTTATTATTATTATACATATTTTCCTTGCAATGATACATCATGGGAATTCCGAAATTCAAAAAGTTTTTAACAGAATCAGCGAACTTCTTTGTGTGGAGTCCGGTCAAACTCTGATGGCTGCCATGTTGATTTTATTATTATTAGAGAACGCTTACGTGCGTAATCATTCCATATTTGGAATTCTCATTTCCTAATATGGTAGGATGAAAATACCCCGTAAAATACCGCAACATTATGGCACGCTGTGACTTAAGGCGTTACGGTGACAGATGTATAAGAATGTTTACTACTAGTATTCGATATCGTATCTGTATGAGGACTGCATATTGTTAACGCTTTTGTGGTTGAGAATTGCCTACCTATCACAGACGTGGCGAGTAGTGTGACGGTTAAAGTTGTGAAAAAGGGTGGTCGATAGCTTGATTTGAGGGATAAAAGTGGTGGATAGAGGAAGGAAGTGCCGGACAGCTAAACACAGGTCAGTCAGTCTTCCAGCTTAGACTTCATGCTTCTAGAATTTCTAGTCACTTTCGAGAAAGACAAAAGAAACTTTAAATTTTCTTCAACGTGTGAGAGTAAATGGGAACCTCCGCTGTAGATTGGCGCGTGCAGCTGACGTCAGGTAACCAAAGGAAATAGAACAAAGCTTGAAAACTTGTTTAACCAATCAGAATGCCGGAATCATAAATAGTTAATGTCTTCGTGTAGCTTGGCGGTCCATAGTACTTGAGACGGGAATCAGCCATACTTCAAACCAGCCTTCACCATTGAGGACACCGCACCGACGATAATAATCATCAAGCGCTTCAGTCCGTGATTTGTCTGTTATACTGCCCTCAAACGGCATGGACTAATCATAGAAGCCGACAAATGAAAACGTGGCCTCATTGCGAGACAGTTGTCCTGTCAGAATCAACATAAAGTGGAGTATATCCCCAATGTGTCCATTCATGTGTCTGTCGTAAGGTATATGCTATGTTTTGAGGTAAGTCAAGATAAAACACGAGACGCAAGTTTGTCAAAATGTTAGCACACAAGCCGATCGTTAAAGTGTCAATCTACTCATTGCCTGATCAATGACTTAATTAAGTTTGTGGTATTACTCGTTTGCACTTGCTTGGACATAATGACTATCGTTATAAATCTTCAATTTACTGTGGAATACTTCGTGGTGTAAAACAATTAGATTAAATGTGTATGTATGCTACATATGGTGGCAGTGTAACGGGAGATTTTATTTCACCAGAATATCGTGTATACATTGCAGCAACGTATCCATAGAACACAGAATTTATTATACTGACCTTGGGTTCAGTAATATGTTGCTGGTTGCATTTCTGTTAGTCATATTAAGTATGTCATATCTAAATAGTGCAGACATAATTGTGTACGAGTCAGGTCAAATAGCTGCACTGGTTTATTGGAAACCCAACGAGAGACCGTCTGTTTACATAATAAATCATATTGTTTGGGTTAAGGTCAAGAAGATCGTCACGAAACATACAGTCGGTCGTTATCTAGATTCGAAACGGCAAGTTGATGAAATAAGCATGGTCATGTCGATCGAATCAGGTCGAATCGCAACTGTAATAGACAAAAATGAAGTGCGACCTAATATTGCCGTGGCAGTGAGGACAGCGTGAATTTGCGAATACATTTCATACAAAGTTATATTTATTGGGTATGAATAATGAGACAACCGGGTATGACAATTGAAACAAGCGCGTGTGTCAGTGTGTCACCCCTGTAAATGTACGATTGTGATTGGATGAGAGGCAGATTTATTTTATGCACGCTGGTCTAATAAACCTGATATTCCACGGTTTTCTGTGTTTAGAAGTAGGTCATAAACGTAAAGAACACACGGTAAGGTTAAGTTATTTTGTTAAGTGAAACGAAAATTTTATTTTGCGCTACGGACATTGCGACAATTGGGTAATTGGGCTCAAACGAAACGCATGAGAAAGTAATTTTACAAAAGCTGCCATATAATACAATTATTAGTATTTTTCCCCCGATAATGTTACACGTTTTAAAGAAGTCTGATGTAGAATACTTCATTAGCAGATTCGAAATATTCGAAGTATTCGAAATGTGGGCGCTGTTTTTGACGACCATTAATTAGTTTTCTAGAAACATTTCGCCATATTATTACATGTTCATAATTCGTTTATGTTAATTACATGATAGCGAAGCTGACGAAGAATTGGTATTAATACAGCACGTTATAATAGTTTCCAACGCCTATTTTCTTGTTTTGTGTTCATAATTAATATACAATAGCAAATTACAAATTCTCTTATGCCTGTTGTAATAGCGCGTTAATTTCCACTCTTCTATAGTTTATTAAAATATGCATACAAATTAATGTGGTATGGATTGAACAATTGAGCGCTTCTTCTGCTCACTAGTGTGTGACAAGCTCGGTATTTTATGATGAGAGCATGGCTGTACGTTTTTGTCCAGTCCAATTATCAATTTAGATGATGATTTTCCAGTATGTCCAGTATCTACTAACCAGACTAGAGCTGATATTAACATACCAATAATTCAATCCAAATTTAAATCACAACACGTGGTATGTATACGCCACATATTGAAATGAGTTCGAGTCATACACCAGACAGACAAATATGCTGTCGAGATTCATTGCAAAATATTTGTTTCAACCATACCCGAACCGACGACGTTTCGTAAACACGAATAAAATGCGTAAACGACTTCGCTTCATTGATGCACAGAATTTTATTTCCACATAGCAGAGGTTTCAACTTATTTTCTCTGGATATAAATGGCGACAACTAGATATCATAATAGGAATACACGTGGGAGGTCGAACCAAAGCAGAAGGGCTCACGCTATAAAACTTCATGGCGTGTTGGCATGTTAACGATAGTGTTTATTATATATGCAAGTCCTCGCATGAACAAAGATGGAATCAGCACAGCTTGTAAGTAAACATGTCCGACTTATTGTTTTAGTTGTTACAACAAGATGGACGATAAATGTAATACTTCTCTATGCATATGTAGCATATACAAACACGTACATACAAAATTGCTTACATATTTCGATATCCAGGCAAAAAACGACGTTACTTGTTTTGGGGGATAATTATGCTTAATTAATTCTTCAGAAATTATGGCAAGTGTGTGTAGTTTGGACTGTACTCAACGATGCGGCCCTGGAGGGCGTATGTAACACTGTAAAATACTGTATTGCTATGGTTAAATATGGGTAATTATGGTAGTTGGCGTATTGATGGCGATAACAAGCAAATTAGTGTGAGTCAATGAGTTGATACAGTGATCATTTTGTTGGTGATGTGAAATAATATTGGCTTAGCTATATGAGAATTTGCTTGTTTCTTGTTTTTTTATGCCTTTATTCATCCATTACCTCTGAGCGTAACAGTGGAAAATACGTAATTTCTAGAAACAGCATTTTTGATGTGCACTGGGGTATACAATTTCATTTATTTTGTGTTTTTCAGTTCTTTCTCACGGTCCTTCTGATCAACGTCACTGCAATGGTGTGGTACAGCATCGTGTTGTCCAGAGATATCGATGGATCACCTATCAAGTCGATAGAACCACAGTCTGCGTTTCTTGGAAAAATTCATTTGAACCCGATCAACAATATCGTGTATATCAAAACACATAAGACAGCGAGCACGTCATTGCATTGTATACTTTGTCGCTATGGTTACAAAAATCGACTGTCTTTTCTATTTTCGAGGTTAAACAGGGATAATGGTCATTTGAGGAAAACAGCTCTCCGCCCGTCACGGTTTTTACCACCGATTGGGAACACGGGCAATTCTTCTTCGTTTAAGTACAACATCCTTACTGGGCACGTGACTTATTCCAGGCGTCGGATTGGTTCATTCATGGAAAGCAACCCTAAGTATATCACCATTTTACGAGAACCAGCGAGACAAATAGAATCTCACATGAACTTTTTCAGGCAAAGAAAACGTGTAATGAATGGACTTAGATTATTCACAGAAAACGCCACCAAATTTGAAAACGGCGGAAATGCCGGAAGTAGAAATAATCAGATCGTGGACTTGGGATTAACCCTCAGTGAAACAGCTAATGAAACTATTATAAACGAAACAATTCTAAAACTTGATAAAGAGTTTGACCTTGTTCTAATAGCCGAATATTTTGATGAGTCGCTTGTGCTGTTAAAACGTATTCTACATTGGAGTTTTGACGATATACTGTATTTAGTAAAAAATCAACGTGGGCATCGTGAGAATATTACAGATGATTTTCGTCCAAAAATTTACAAGTGGTCCAGAGCCGATGTTTTGTTATATCAGTATTTTTATGAACGGCTTTGGACGCGAATAGAGCAGTATGGACCCGGATTTGAAGCTGACTTGGCTTTCTTCAGGCATCGCCTACGTGAAATTAACAACTGGTGTAGTACGTCACAAAAAGTAGTTGTTAACAAGGCATATAAATCAAAACAACTAGAATTCACTAGTAAAAATAATTCTACATTTTGCCAGCATTTGGCGTACTCCAGTAACGATTGGTATAAACATATAGCAATTCGACAAGACCGAAATGCATTCTAAAACATACTCGGTCTATAAAGTACTATTCGCTTTCCAATTGTTACAGAATGTACAAAGCGTCACTAAAATAAATCTGAGGCACAGTTTGCCGCCAAGAGTGTCTTTTGCGCCCACTGTTTTCCGCACCTAAGTGACCATGGTATTACGAATAGTGAGCGCGATGACTACCGTACAAAAGTGTCACTCTTATCACGCGGCGGCCATTGACGTTCCAGTCCTAACTTTCAGGCCACAGTTGGATTCGCTACTAATACGGTCCATCAACATAAAAGTGAGGTTTGGAACACAAAAAGTCAGTTATGGTGACCGCATGATACAAGCGACTGGTACGCTATTTATTTGAAGGGCAACAACAAGTATCGTGGCCATATTGCCCACAACGTGATCTCGGCGGCCATTTATATACTGTGCTATCTATTAGTATGAACTGACTCATCGCATGGAAAACTGCTCAACTTTCATTAACAGTAGTAACTGATAACTGCATGTCATCAATATGCCTGCATGCCATCACGTATATGTGATATGAGTAATTAAAATATCGTCGACAAAAAGTGTAGTTTAACTTCTCATTATTTATTTCTGTTTTATTATTATTATTATTATTATTATTATTATTATTATTATTATTATTATTATTATTATTATTATTATTATTATTATACATAATTTTCTGTTGTTTATGTTGTTAGTAGCTAATATTAGTTATAAATTAATTGATTCTATCGTTGCGAGCTGAGAAAATAATCGAAAAACTTAATTGTAAAAGTGTTTTTGAAACACGTTTGGCATATGGTAGCATAAATAAAATAAACACTGAATTTTCACAATTTGTATGTCACTTGTTTAAGGTTCGTTGAGGAGTATTCTATGATGAAATTGCTAAAATGATTTCATTTATTCGTAAAAAGGACGTTGCTGCCTGCCGACGACTGGCTTTGAAACGTTCCATTCAGATCGGAAGGCGCCCTCTCGTGCCCATCTTCCTGTATTGTGCCAATATTTAAACCTGAACACGTGGTTATTTGCGTGTCTCTGGATTACCTCCATCACGAAGTTTGTATAATAACAATAATACCCACGCCAGAGACAGCTATGAAACTCGACTTGGACAAATTCACTTTATATACACCCTCGGTATCACTCGTGTTAATATCATGAAACTGACTAAAATATCGTGATATACTCAGCCCTAGAGTTGGTTATTTCTTAATTCGATGTGACGCATATTCCATTAAAATTAATCAGAGTTGCCTTCTATATAGCCATTATTCCATTCTTTTTCGAATTTATAAAACAACTGTTTTATTCGAGTTACTTTGAAGCTTGAGCGAACTTCCCGGCAACGTTACGTTCTCCTCTGGTTAGTTGGGCTCATCGAGCTGTCAAAGCAGAATTCGAACAATGGTGCATGACGGGATTTATTGTAGCGAATAAAAATAATACCTAGGTTTATGAACGATTTAATTGTTGGCTAAGTTACTCAAAATTGAAAGGGTGCTCAAGTTCTGCCTTTTCATATAATTACCTAGTAGATGAACAATCAACTAGCATACGAGTGATAATAAATTGTTAGCTGGGATGAATTTGCGATGTTTGCCGAGCATTCAGGATGGCTGCCCTCCCCCAATTCAGTAAATACCGATAACTTCGTTGCATAATGCTATTATAACGTGTACACTAGTTAACTGTAGTACACTTCAAGAGTGCCCGAGAAGGTGTCGTGCACTGGTCGATAGCAGAGCACGTCCCATATCTCAAATCAAGGAAATAGCACCGAATACACGTCCTACAGGAAACATGTACAGCGCGCCGTGCCGTGTATTCGGTGTTATTACTTTGATTATTATTTACGATTATTTGTCTCAGTGACCCCAAATCCAGTCATTCTGTCTGGATTAATCGTAGCAATGTACATATATATGAGTATCTTGTACATAGTTGTCGACGTCAGAGTTGTTCAGATTCAGCCCTAGTCGTTGAGGACAACACAGATGGGCTGTTTCTGGAAATCACTGACTGGTTATGGCGCCCTCACCTGTTGATTATGTCGAAAAAAATATGTAATTTGGAATTAACCTTCCATTCGTGTCTACCTTGTTTGTTTGTATATATTTCACGGCGATTGAAACCATGACAACGGGTTCGCAATGTAGCATGTGTTGGGCGCCGTTAAATCATAGTGTGTCAATATTATAATGATTTAACAGTTGTTGTTTTTTTATTTGCGTACTATATAATAATAAATAACAAAACGTCAGATGTTGTTGCCTTAGTGGGCTGGGCGAAGTTGTTATTTTTTATCTAGCTGCAAACTGTTTTATGTTTATCGTATATCATGAGCCTAAACATGATAATGTCTTGATTGAAAGGATGTAATTTTTGCAAAGCTGGAGACTGTCGTGCAGCACGTGTTCGAATTCGTCGCGAAAACCACCGCCCTTTAACAAAAGAAGAACAGTAAATTACGTGGATTAATAATACGGAGATGATAAATATTGCGGTATTATTGTAAACAAATTATTACTTGATTGTAATTTAGAGAAGCGTGACGAAAATAACATTTTTTCGTCCTAATTCCTTCGTTGTTTAGAAGAACAACAAACTTAACTTCGTGCACACACTACGGCATACCTTAAAATAACCCTGGCAGAAATCCAATACTACTGCGTCGATATCAGGGGTACGCGGAATTTGGTTAGCTAACTTGTATTTTAATGAGGGGAAGCGCGGATACGCTTTGAACGTAACGGCCTTATAGTGAGTGGTCTTAGTTAGCGTAATATAGCGTGTGTTGTTTATGTAGTTAAAGCATCGTGTGTGTAAATTATAATGATTTGTATTCTTATATGTATACACATAATAATAATTATATTATACCTACATGTCAATTGTCTGAAAACGTCGTTCTAATTAACTGGGGGGGCGTTTTTTAAGTAGGAAAGCCATAGTTAAATGGACGGTATACCACGGTTTTTTGTGCTTAGAAGTAGGCTTCAAACGTGGCAAATCCTTTTTTCAACGGAAATCGACACAAAATGTGCCTTGCACGGGCGTGTATTTGGGGTTCAAAAGAAAGGCATGAGAATTAGTTTTTCAGAACAACGCAAATATAACATTTTGAGTTTTGAGTTGTCGCTCCTCAAAAACGCAGTCAGGCACTGATATGTCACAAATCAGTGTCCCTTTTTAAAATTATGTCAATTGGGACGATTACGCGTGCGAAATACGGGTGTGAATTTGAGCTCCCGCTCGAGGAATTTATAATCGTTATACGCTAGTTCCAGGACCAGTTTCATTAACCCACGGCTGCAAATAGAGCGTTTCAGATGCCGTATCATACTAGTAATTGAACATGGTTTTGGAAGCCTTTGTATCTCTGTAATTAACTTTAAATGAACTTGGTTTAATAATTAATATAATAGGAATAACCGCCACCAGCGGCGAGTATACCACTCAAATTTTGACAAGTTCACTCCATATACACCCTCGCTATCGTTCGTGTGTATATGTCGTAAAACTGGTTAATATCGTGATATACTCGTTTCTGGAACAAAACAGTAAAATAGAGTATTAATATGTGAATGAAAACTGTAAATATCACGAACAAAATTGCTGTTTCTGCCAGTCTCCGCCTTAGTGCACCAGCGGATGCTAATATTTTTATCTAGTTAAAACTGTTTTATCTTCAACCGAACGTAAATTCATGAGCCTAAGCAATACAATGTCTTGATTGGAAGAGTGTAATATTTGCAAGGGCTGGGCCGTCGTGCAGTGCGTAATAAAATTTCGTTCGAGCAAACAATGTATTAGTAATTTACGCCCATTGTAAACGTCGCATGAAACCCATATCCAGTCGTAAACGACTCGTCGCAAAGACCTTTTAAAAAAGAAGGACAGTAAATTAGGCGGAGCATTAATATGCAGAATGAAAACTGTAAATATTGTAGTAATCTCGTAAACATGCGATTATTCGGGCATAATTTGGAAGGCATGCACCATGGGCAAAATCACATTTTTTTAGTTTTAAATTGTCGTTCCCTGGTTGTTTAGAAGAACAACAAATTCACTTCTTTTAAGTACTACTACGACATACCTAAAAATAATTCTGGCAAATATCCAATACAACTTCGCCGATAAAGGGGGATACCCGGATGACTCTACGAAGTTAGTTGGCGAACTAACACATCTAGTAAGAGGGGGTAATAATGGACTGTAAAAGCCTACGAGTGTATTTAACTCAGATCGGCTTGTGAACATGGAAAACGCAACCTCAATAGATGTTTACGTCGACAATATATGATCTCATTCATTTGATACAAGAAGCGCACGTAAAAACCAGGTAATGGAAATTGTATAGTTTTGTATGTATGTATGTATGTATGTATGACGTATGCACATAAGATATGAACTATACAAAGCATGTAAAGATGTCCGCTGAATTGTGTGGAAAGTTGGAGATAGATACAGTGTGAATTTCTACGTAAAGTGTAACACTTGCTTCTTCACGCATAACCAATGCAAGTGTGGACTATCATGTCCTTCAAAGGAGTGTGTATTAAGAGATCGAACAATGTACACAGGGCTGGATTTAGAAGTTCATTAATAATTTAGGTTGGACATTTATCACATGAATAAAACGTAAACACAAACACTTTAAGGGACATAACGACCTGAGAAAAAATAGCATTTCACAGATTCTGGTTGTCTGAACTAACATAGGCTTGGAAGAATGGTCACGACAGACCTGTAACAAACAAACAATAGCCTATTGTCAGACAGTCCATCGACTCCTTATCTGTGTTGATCTTTTGACTTTGTGCTTACACTAAACATTTTATCACGACCACATTAACGCAAACTAATGAGCTAGACTAAATCCCGCCGGGCACACTCTGTAGAAAATGCCGATATTCACATGTTTACGTGTATCTCGTGTCAAACGCATTCACCAAGAGTAATCGGATCTATATTCAAACGGGTCAAATCCATTGTGCTCG